AGGGAGAATAATTTCAAAATATTTAGAGTTGTTTTGTACAACAAATTATTGTTTGTATTTTTATTTTACAATTTAAGTTACTATTTAAGTGACTCTTAAAGTATTATAAAGTATAAATATCTTAAAAATTAATATCAATCTAAATAATCAAATTTCATTTATCCATAAAGAAATATAATTTATGGTTACAAATTAAAGATTTTGCTCGCCTTGAACTGAAGATGTACATGAAAAGTGAGTTTATAAATTGACTGAAGAAGATTGGTTATCTGCAAATCAAGTTGGTACCAAACCTAACATGCTGAATATAACTACAGCATCTGAAAGCTAAGGTAATGAAAACTAGAACGTCCCCGTCTTCTATTTCCGTAACTTCAAGTACTTGTAGATTTATGCTCATTTATATCTGTGAAGTGTAAGCTAATAATCTAAAACTACATGCAATAAATCTCTAGTATTTATGGGATGACAGTGAATCTGATATATCATTAGCATACTGTACAAAAAATAGTCGATAAAATAATGGAAATAAGTTTGTTTTCTAGCAGTTTAATCTTTGCAATGCGTCTTTCTTGACTCATAGATAGAATGTTGATATAATATAAGTAGAATAATACCTTATTGGAAAAAGTGATAGATGAGCAGATTACAGATTATCACTCTTATATGTTTAGCTTGGTAGCCTAATGATATACATTATTCTTTTATATAAATATTTTCAAAACATGGAATTATTTAAAACTGCACAATAATATAAGGCAACAGCGGTAACTGTCTTTATGATGATATTTATATGAATGTTTCCTGTTGTCGAAAGTATCTGGAGCACAAATCTTCTTAAATTAATTAAAGAAGAACATATAAAAGAGATAAAAATTGAAGCAGAATTACTGAAAGCAGGTCAGGTAATAAAAGCATGGATAGATCGACGACAACGTACATAAAGACTATTAGTGTTTTAGTAACTGTGTTGTAAACAGATATATTAGATACATTGCAAATCACGCCCATTGCATGACTTTTAAAAAAATTTAAAATCGTTTAAATAATTTCCTTATAATAAATGGCTAGTTTTGCGAAGAAAGAAGGGAGAGAAGAAAGAAGGGAGAAGGGAAACATTTGAAATAAATAGATATATTCGCTTTTGTGTTATACTGTTTTCGATTGGTAGGTCTAGGATGACTTTTACAGTCGAGATTCACTTTTAGTGCACTTTTCATTTCCGATTGGTAAATTTTGAGAAAATGTATAACACTTGAGATTAATTTATAGTACTCTAGATATTTTGCCAGACTACCCTGCAATTAACAGCTGTTTTATATGACTTGAGAAATAAAGAGTAATTTGATTCGAAATATGAATTTATGAAATTCATAAATGTCTACTAATACTACTTTATAAATATTAGATCATTTTAAAAACATTCGATATGGTAACAAAATTTTACACCTCTAGAGTAAACCTATAAGGCAATTCTGGTAACAATCTTTTAAATCACCACACTCAGATATCTTGCGAAAGATCGTTTGAAAGATCCTTTTCTGGCAGCGATCTTTTGCAAGACTGAAAGCTCTTTTCGATCTTTTTAAATACCAAATGAAAGATCTGCTATTGATCAGATATTTCGATTGTCAGCTAAATTTTGTTTGTGTTTTTCGTGTATTTTTTTTATATTAAAAAAAATACATAAAAATTAAAATTAAAATTAATTATGAATTAATTATATTAAATTTGTAAGAATTTACCAATTGCTCCATTTGCTAGAGACGAATGCTGGGGAAAAGAAATCAAATCTTTAGGCGGTGTTTGATATATGCATATGTATATATGCATGCCTATAAGTATGCTGTTTTTATTAAATTAATTTTTATGGTGAAGAAGGGGTGAACAATTTTTCAAAGTTAAAGAAAATCAGTGTAGGCGAGCGTAGTGGTCTAAGATAGATTAGTATTATTTTTAAATAAATTTTTTTATTGTTATCAGGTATTTCCTTTTTTTATTTGTCTTATATATTTTTCTTATTTTAGCTAGAACATAATACCTTAAGTAATGAAATGAATATTACAGCTTAACAATGGTAACTGTTATTATAAAGTTTTTCATTATTAATGTTATATTACTCAGTTATTATTGTTATTTTTTTTAAAAATTGTATTTATTATTACCAATTTAAAATTTGGATTTTTATTTATTGTTCTGTTTACTATTTTATATGAAGTTTAAGTTACATTATTTTTGTTTTTATGTTTTAGGTTTTTTATTTAAATTTATTTAGTGTAAATTTATGGCGATCTGTATATATATCTGTATGTTCAATATTTAAATGGTTTCAATTTTTTGTAGAATTAAGTTCTTTTTTGGTTTCTGAATAAATGGTTTTAACCATATCCACGAATATGTTCACATATATTTAAGTATTACATTTAAAATTAAACTTTTGCTTTTAATAATCTTTTTTTTAAATTTTAAATGTACATATAAAAATTTAATTAATAATAATTTAAAATTAAAGGCATTTGGTGAATACATGACTGCCAGCTTTTCTAATGTTGTTTCAATAATTTTGTTTGTAAATATATAAAAAATTATTATCAGCAAATATTAAATGTTTTAAAAAATATGACAAATATTTTGCAATTATAACCTTAATTAAATCTGATTTAGTTTTTAAATTTTCTGAATTTTTACCTGGTATACATATTAAGTGCTTAATTTGAATTTAAACATTTATAGCATATTTAAGAAAATTTGAAAAATACTTATTGTATATATTAAATTGATATTCAACATTTTTCTTAAATGGATTCTTAAGCAGAATTGTAAACTTTTTTTTTTTAAACAAAAAAGTTAATATGACTATTTATATTAATGACTTTTTTTATGACTCTTTATATTAACTATTTTATAAAATTATTTTATTAAATAATAAAAATATCAATTGCTTATAAACTTCAGGTCTTACCATTGATTAAACAAAACAAACCGATATTGCTACTATTATCGGTGGTCACATATAAATAATTATAATAATTATATAAAAATAATAAAAATAAATTATATGTTTTTTTTTATTAATTAACAGTCGATTTGAAACATAAAAATGAAAAATGTTTTTGTTTTATAAATAAAAAATTAAACTTATAAATTTGTGTTAAGTTTTTAATTGTCTACTAGACAAAATTAAAATACAATTTAATATTTAACAGAAATTTATAAGTATAAACTTTTATTTAGAAAAAAAAACATTTTTAATTTTTATGTGTTAAATTAACGACCTAAGCCCAGTAATAATAAAAAAAAACGTGTTGAAACTCATTCGTAGTAACAATTTATTAAAAATAAATTATAAAAAAAAATTAAAATTAAATTATATAAATTAATTTATAAATTAATTTTTTATTTTTATTTTGTAAATTAATATATTAAATAACAATTCATAATATTTTATAAATAAATTAATAAAATTATAGAAAAATATTTTATGAATAATAAAAATAAAAACTTTTTTTTTGAATTTATTTAACGAATTGTTTATTAAAATGGTTTTTAATATATATTTTAATCTGGCTGTAGGTCCCTTCTTGTTCAATAATTCAACGTTAAATATTTTTTTTATACTCTATATTTCGACTGTTCTTGAGAGTCAACATCAGGATTACGATGTACTATAAGTTAATATTATTAAAACTACATATACATCGTCATCTTTGTTCTTTCGTCTATATTGTAATATATTGCAAAAGAACAAAGAGGTTGACTTATATATAGCCTTGATAATATTAAAATGATGATGACTCTCAAGGAGGGACCTACAGCCAGTTTAAAAAATATAAAAAAAAAACAATAATAAAATTATATAAATAATAATCGTAAAATAATTAAAATAATAAAAAGTATTTAGCATATGATATATGATGGTAATATTTAAACAATATTTTATTTAAGCTAAAAAAATTAAAAAAAAATTTTAATAATTAAAAGGCATATTAAGTCTTTACATCTATTATATGTTATTTAAGTTTGTATATTTTAAATTTATTTTAACACTTTTATTTTCTTTGATTTTGCACATAAGACATCAATAATTAAATTCTTACTTTTTAAAATGCATAATTATTTAGATTTTTGTATTAAAACTTTTAGCAAAATGTTAGTTTCTTATCTATGTATTGTTTTTATTAATAAATTCTGGCAAATTCTTTTTTAAGCACATTGATATACACAAATATATATAAACATTTATTTGCATATTGTATATAAACTATGGTTATATGAAAAATATTCGGTTGATAGCGCAAAGAAAGCAACAAATTCTTGCTAATCTCTCAATATTTAACTGAATTACAAAACTGAGAATTATTTTAAATATTTTTATATTAATAGCACATATTTTTTAGCTTATAAATTAACTAAATTTAATATCTTTGTCTAAAAATCGAACATTTTTCATACATAAAATTACTAATAAACATATAAATTCATGCAGTAAGCGTTTCTTTTTGTGATGAACAGCAAATATTTCAAATTTTATCTTTTATTTAATAATGCAATATATATAATTCATTGTTGACTTTTCGTTTGTAATTAGCTATAATTTAAATGAATGAAACCAAAATCTTATAAATTCATTTGTATATCGATTGAAATCGATAATAATTCACTTAAACCTATTTACAAAACCTTTACGAGTATTTACAGTGTATCGTTAGCGGATGCACATAGAAAAATCTTAAAATTGAATAAAATATATAAATAGAAAATAAATATATAAAAATATTCAACAATCTTAAATTATTAAAAACAAATTCAAAATATTTCTTCTTAACATTCTTACAATTTTATATATTTTTCAATTTAAAAACAGTTTTTATATTCAAATAATTTTTGCCGAATTTTTTTTTTGCTTAATAAATAAACTTTAATCTTTTTAAATTTTTTCTATAAATAATTTTTTCTTAATTTTTTTTATTCCTTTTTATGTTTTTTGTTTTTCTGTTGCTTACTTTTAATTTTACTAATTTTTTTTTTTCAAAGCGTCATTGTCATCATTATTCTCGTTTTATTATCAGTTTTAATCTTCCTTTCTGCCATGTTGCATGCCACAGTTTCACCACACGCTCAACTGTTGCATTATTAGGAGTAAAATAACACTAAATGCACTTCCGGTCAGGGTTTTTACTGTGCTGCCGTTGCAAGAGTCCGTATTGCAAATAGAACAGTGGAACTGTTGTTGCTCTTCGGCTTTACCATTTGAACCATGCTTTCCACGTCGGCCGTTGTTGTTGTTTTGGGAGTAGGTGCCATCAGCATTTATTTTCAGTTTTGTGCGCAAAATGGAACAGGAATTCGAGTCTGCTGTGTCCAGTTGACAGAAACGTGCTGTCACCATTTTATTGTTAGTGGCTGTGCACGGTCGATTCGGGGTTGGATTAGAGTGGCATCACATGGAATTAAAGTTGAATTTATTGAGTCGTTGAAAATGTAGAAAGGGAAAAAAATAAATATTTTTTATGTAAAAGAAAAAAAATAAATCAAAGTTGAATTGATTTGAACTTACGATCTTTTGCCACCACTTTTTGGCAATTCATCAAAGGATCTTTATTGGTGCCAGTATCAAAATATGAAAATTTATTCAATTCAAATAGCCAAGTGTTCAAAGACTTAGTTTTCTCCAATGAACATTCCTAAAAATAGCCAAAAAGCAAATGAAAAAATTTCAAAATAAGTATTCATTCTATATTATTACTTTTATTATTTTATTATATTATGTTTAATATATTATTAAGTCATATTTTAATATTTATTTTAAACAACAAAAACTTATGTACAAACTAACTATACTTAGTTTTAACGGTATTAATGTTGTTTTTTTATTAAATTAATGCTTGATTGGGGCACTAAAACTTGTTGAGGTTGAAAAAACATTTATATATAGTTAAGTTAAACTGCACTAAAGATGTGATATATTTAATATATTTTTAACAGCATTAATTGTCTGTTGTTATTATTGCTATTATTGTTATTATTGATGAATAATATTTTAAAGAATTCTTAAGGTTATTAAATATTATTTAAACCTTTTTAATTAAAAACTTTGCTCTAACAAATTGAACGCACTAAAATTTTTTATTGAACCAATTATCTAAACATGATTTTTACTCGATCAACTTATTTAATCAAATAAGTGCTTGCTTGAAGCGCTAAGATTTATTCGCCGTTAATTAAGATTTTTTAAATATTTGTAATGTTATTTTTAAAGTATTTAAATACTGATTTGAACACCGCTTACGTGTATGCAAAGCGTATCAACTCCTTTAATCACACATTCTCAGTAAATTATTTTCAAAGTACTTTAACAAAAGGTCTGTAAATTTTATTTAACCTTCTTATGAAGTGCTTCTAAAAGGCTTTTTATTGACAAGGGCTTATATATTCTACTACCGGGTAGAACCAACATCATAACTGTTAATTTTTTTACTATTTTTCATTACTATTGCTATTATCATTTTTTCCGGTGAATAATATTATTAAGAGTATGAGTTTTATATACTGCATATTATTTGAAAGTTTTGGTTTAACTAAATAAAAATTTTGCTTGAACATATATGTAGCTAAAGAAGTTACTTTGAATAAGGCACCAAAGTCTGTTTAGCATTTACATATATATGTAAACATTTTTGATTTTTTGGTTTTCATTTAATTTTAAAAATCGGTTAAAGTATAACACAGCTGTTAAGGCTTTTTGTACAAGCATTATTTTTTATTTAAAAAAACAAAAAAAAAATATATATATTACTGAAAAATAAATATGAGGATTATGCCTAAGATGTGATTAAAATACAGCATCTAGCGAGTGTAATGATATGTTAAACGCGCGTTTATAGTACACACTCTTACTGTAGTAGTTGACAACTCTCAGTATTCTTCAGTTACATAGAATAGAGCCGCTAGTGACTGCAGCTTAATCGTGAACAGTACATAAGTAATGTAAATATGAGCTCAAATCAATTTCTGACATTTCTAGCTACTGTAACTATCTGCTGTAACTATCTACTGTAAGTATCTACTGTAACTATCTACTGTAATTATCTACTCTTAATATCGACTGCAGTCATCTACTGCAATTATCTACTGTAATTATCGACTGTAATCACCTATTGTAATTATCTACTGTAATCTTCTGTAAATATTCATTATAGTTATCTACTGTAATTATCTGCTGTAACTATCTATTATAACTATATACTTTAACAAGCTACTGTAATTATCTACTGTAACTATCTACTGCAGTTTGAATATGTATTGAGTATTATTGTGCATAGTATACTATAGTAATGCGATTGCTCAAGTATATTTTAAATATTTAATTTAACTAATTAAAAAAACAACAACGTGCATAAATCTCAGTAAAATTATTTCAGACATATTCAGGATTACAACTGCATTCTAGTCTTGGTCTTCTTAAAAAATTTCCCTATTTACTCCATTTGCAAACTGATATCATCCTGTTGGCTGAAGCAGATTCTATCTATATTTCGCTTATCATAAAATTTTTCAAAATGGGTTCTTTGAACCGGTTTTTCTATACTTATGTGATGAAATATATATATGACCATATCTACCTCTGAGGATATCGTTAATAGCTCGTCGTTATGCATTTTCAGTAATGTCCTAGAACTCAAAACAAGTACAGGAACCAATTAACTGTTTGGAGAATAAACAAAGTTTTGAGTTCATATGTGAGTAAAACTTAAATCATACAGCAATAATTTGGAGTGTCAGTTTTCACATTTCAGGTTTCAATAAGACTTGACAGCTGGAAGTGGACTATGAAAATCACTTCCGTAGTTATGCACATTGTTAAACGCTATAAGGGATTGAAGGTAACGTTTGTTTCCATGACTTTAATTATTTGTTAAAATCAGACGAAATTTGACTTCTTTGTGCTGCCTATTTGAACTTAATAAATGATTTTTTTACAATAGGCGTAGATCTTTGGATGATGTTAATGCATTTGTGTAAATCAGTACCAAACTGCATTTTTTGGTTGTAAAGTCTGTGAACAAATTTTTGTCGTATATTCAAACTCTATGGTACAGATATATTGAGCGGAATGCAACATTCTTGTAATTACTCACTAGTTTTTGTTCTTTACTAAGCTAGTCAGCTCTAAACTGTCATATCTCTAGGTTGACTTGTTCTAATTTGGACAAAAAACGTGCCAGTCAGCTACTTCAACTTCGGCGGAACTTGATCAGCACTACGGTATTGGTGCTGACGGGTAACTACATAATAGGGAGGCATGCTAAGAGACTAGGTCTGATTTTTGTCACAGCTGTGAGAACGAGGAGAAAACTCTGTTTCATCTCATATGTCAGTGCCCTTCTCAGGTGGGAGAATATCAAAAAGCTTAGGGGCTTTAGCATAATTCATAGAATTTTCAGATAGGTCTTCCTTTACTTAATGAGGAACTAATGAGGAATGAGGAAATGGTTACCTTCGCAATGAGGTAAACTGTAGTCGAGGCTTGAGTAGTGTTGATAGTTTCATATAATACATATGTTTTTATAACATTTTTTTTTAAAAATCAATCAATTCTTTTAGTCGTAGGCTATTGTTTTTGCAGTACATAGGCATAATGTAATGCCTAAACATTAGATTTCAATCTATTTTAGTATTCAAAAAATGGCTTTTATAATAATCATTTGGGGTTCATTTGGTTAATTCAAGATATGCTTTCTTTTCCTAGAAATATATAATAAAAATGTTCATACCATAACAACAAATTATAAATATAGTATAAAACAATATTTCTACTATAGCAAAATAAGCAGTAGATACATACATACGTCTATGAAGAAATTATATATTATATTTTTCTTTCTCTGGATTTATTAAAAGTGTTTTTATGCACTTGAGCACAGTTTAGTATATTCGTGTCACAGTTAAGTCTTATGTCAATAGAAGTTTATGAAATGTTAAGTATTTCCCAGAAAAAACTTTTCTGCTGGTTATTTTCTTAGTATAACTTCTTTATCTGCTTCAAATCCGGCTTGTGTTTTGCTCCAATATAATATGAAGCTATTGATGTTTACGATTTACGATACTGTTTTTGTGCTTCATGGTTTGCTTGTGTGTAGGTGTATCCATTTTCAATTTTCGTAGTTCCAACATATACTTGGTTGCTCTTGTTGGATCTATCTCCCATCCAATTAATTTGATGAACTATATTGTGTTTATTCATTATGTCGGTTTTTCATTTTGGTGTTTGAGTGTAGCGTATGTTATTGCATTTTATATAGTTGCTTATCATATATATTAAGTGCTGAGAATAAAAATGTTCAGTATTTAAGTTTGGGGATATATATAATACTTTTAAAAATTTGTTTCGCTTTATAATATTAGTTTTCTTTCATCTTTTTTGAATTATATTGTCAATTGTTTACATCTAGAGTAAATCTAGGGTGACTTTTACAATCGAGATGCACTATTAGTGCAGTTTTCATTTTCAATTGGTAAATCTCTAGCGAAATGTATAACAATCGAGATTATTTTATAACACTCTAGATGTTTTATCAGACTAACAAGATTACCCTGAAATTAACAGCTGTTTTGTATGACTTGAGAAATAAAGGGTAATTTCATACGATATATGAATTTATGGCAAATATCTACTAACGCTACTACTTAAAATGTTATATCATATTAAAAACGTTCGATGTGATTCTAATGCTTTTCTTGTTGTTTTATTGGTTTATAACTAATTTGAAGTTTATAACTAATCCAGAATCTGTTGGCTTCTAATACCATTCGAATTTTTCAAGCAAAAACTTTCTAAAATCATTAGACAGTTTTCACTACAATGGGTCGCATTCGTGTAAAATATACATGATAGTAGTAAAAAAAATTTTACCAACAAATATACGGACTATAAACTAGTTAAATAAAAATTTGAATATTTCCTAAGATCACTGATAATGAGATCACTAATAAGCTTTGTATGATCAGCCAAATTTCAATAAATTAATTAAAAATCTGTATTCTTGTTTCTCCATTACTATTCAAACCCTTCCAGTTTTAAAAAATCAGCTGAAACAAAAAATGATTTATAATACTAATGAAACAATACATGACGTATTTTTTCAGATATTTCAGAAATTTCACGTATATTTTAAATCAAAATAATTTTAATTTTACAAAAAAACAATTATAATGTTCTTTGTGATATGTACTAAAATATTGTTACATTGTTTTTAAATATTATAATATAGATTATAGTCGAAATATATCGGTAAAAATAAAATCTTTTAGAAACAAATAAATATTTTTAAAAAGTTTATTGACCAATTAGCTCGTAAAAAAAGCAATATTATTTCTAAAAAACTTTTTGGTCATTAAAACAATATATTATTATTTTTAATTAACCGAATTTTTAGCTGACAGGGCAGCTGTTTCCAGTATTGCCAAATACCCATCATCAGTGGTCTTGGAAATAATTCTTGTATTTAATAATTCGTATATAATTTTTTTTTTTGAGACTGCAAGTATCAGTGTTGACCTCGTGCCCTGCTAGATTTGAAGCTCAGAGTCAGCGCAACTTAACCAACTGATCCCAAGCCGTACTTGATTTTTATGTTCGCACATTTTTCTGGGGTATTTATTAATTTGCTGTGAAAATTTTTTA